TATGTTTTTAATGTTTGTTGTGAATCGCCCAGAGTTCCCCCATTGGGGGGAGATGGGCGGCCGAAAAATTAAATAAATAAATAAATAAATAAATAGGTTAATCATGCACCTGACTCTAATCCTACAAGACCCTGACTTTGTGCAAGTGTAAGAATTGATGCTGGTTTGAAGCCAAAGGGTAGTCACACCAAATATTGATTTGATTTAGATTTCTCCTGTTTCACTTTGCATTTTGTAAACTGATAAGCATAAACAGTTACAATATATATTTTTGAAAGCATTCTTACTTTATAACATTTTTTCACACCTGCCTAAAACTTTTGCACAGTACTGTAATGTTAGGGGTTTTTTAATCCTGAGCAGCAGACCAGCTTTTGCATTTCACCTTCAATAAGAGATACTTTAACATTTCCTCACTTCCAGCTGTTAAGTAATATTATCAGCATATCTGATAGTGAAGCTGATTGTCCCAGCAGTTTTAATTCCAATTTGACTTCTTTTTCAATTGTGGGTTTCTTCTTGTTAGCCTCATCTTCAGTGATGTCATGAATTTTAGTCTAGAGTTCTTCATGCATTTTTATGCATTAAAACTTCCCCCATTCACACACAAAAGAATAGAAATTCCTGTCTCCCACTTGAGCACTCTGTGCAAGCAAGAAGGTTGGAGAGAAAGGGTTAATCAGCATTTGCAGCACATTGGCCAATGCAAAAATACGGATGGAAAGTTCAGAAGGTTTATCTTCTTCATACCGCAAAGCAAGGAAATATCAGGGACAGGAACTGTGCTACTCATATTGCGCACATTTCTGCTACTGCCTGTGGTTTAATACAGGATATTGGCCCCTAGTACTGTATTTATAAAAAAAACATTTCTGCTGTGAAATATTGGAAGATAATGTAACATGCAACAGGCATCGCTAAAGATTATAGCATTTTCATAAGGCAAATTACTGTAGTTGTGAAGGATCATGGACTGGAGAAACAGACAATACGAAATAAAGTTGGTAATAAATAATTGAAAATCTAATATGTGGAGGCACTATGAGACAATTTTATCTTTCAATTTAACCTACTGCAAGAATAAAAAAGAAACTATTTATAGAAATCTGAGTTCTTTAGTAACAGTAACAAAAAGTAAATATAGTATTTGAGAGAACTGTGGAAACCCAACCTACTTTATTTTAAAAACCAAACAAATACTGTATAATTTTATATTTTGTATATAATTTAAAATATGAGAATAAAAGAAATACTATCATTCTAAAACTTAAATTCCAGTGGGTAACATTTCTACTGTTTGGAGAATAATGCAGTAGGAGATGAATAATAACATAAATACTGTATAACCAATGTTCTCTTTGCCCTTTCTCAAATCAAACCTCCTGATTTATCAGCGTTTATTAATCCTTTCCTATCACCAAGCTCTTTCATTTCCATTAATTTTTTTTTATGCACCCCTTCTTTATACCTTCCTCTTTAACTTTGTGTTCTCCTCTGACTGCTTCCTTTCTTGCTTTGTGGCACTTCTTTGTGTCAATTTCACTTTTCTCTCTTTTCTTACTTTTATGTCCTAACACCTTTCCTTGCCCACATCTCCCATGCTCTTGTTTTTGGCCTTGCTCCATTTTTATACAATTGTGCATTTGTAAACACTGTGCATTGTAAACATTTGTGCATTTTATACAATTGTGCATTACATTACTGAACTCACTACAAGTCTGGATAGCAGAAAAATGGGCCACACAATATTTTTCTGCAACTGAATTCTTCAATGTCTGATATTGATTCTGCAAAAACAATTTGATAACTTCTAAAGTATACTAAAATTTAAAATCTCCTTTAAATCAAGCTTAATTGCTGGTGACTTCATGGACCCTTTGATAAACTTTTTTTGACCACAATATGGAAGTAATTTCCCAAGACCTCCTAGGAAGGTCACTACCTTACAACCCAACAAGGGTTGTAAGGTAGTGACCTTCCTAGGAGGTCTTGGGAACAAAAGTACTAAACAAGCAAAGCCTGTTCACCTTTCGAACCTTCAGTAAGTCAGACTGGTACTGCTACCTAACAAGACAAAGCTACATGGGAAATATGGTGGTATAGACATTCTCGTTGTTGTTTAATGTTACGAGAACAAGCTCTGTCTAGGCGCAGGACAGCAACCTGTTGTACATAATGCAAAGAGTTCTCAACCGTAACAAGAAGTTAGAATCTGTCTTTAATGTAACAGGAGGAATCTGGAGAACAGAATCAAAACAAGATTTTTATAGCTTTAGTAATGATTCACAAGTAAGTATGTTCTTAAATAAAAAGCACTGTATAGCCTCTTAAAATCTGATTCATCCAAATCACTAACCCATAATGCAGCTTATATAGCTTTGGCTAAGTATGTTGTATATAGCCAGCCATTGTAGCTATAAATCAGGGTTTGTGATTTAGCAAGTCAAATGACCTCATCAACTGAGGTTTATTCAACAAATTAAGACTTAGCACAACATGTAATACCCTTCTCCCATTCCTGTCTGGAAGCTCTTGGCTGCAAAGACTGGCTGTAGTTGAGGTTCTGAATATCTCAAACTCTGTTCCTGAATCTACAGTAAGGGAAAAAGATCAGTCCAGAGAGGCCATCAGAGTGAATTCAAGTATGGAATTACTAAATCTTGGGCCATCCTTACTGATAAACCTAGATGTTAAAGGATTGTAACACTATTCAATATGAAGATGACCCACCCAGATCTTTGATCATCTGGAGAGCCGCCACCCAATGAAACTGGGCGGGTAGCCACAAGACAGGACCTTCTCAACTTCAAGGATCTGTTTGTACAATACTTTTTCAAGGGAGGGAAACAACACATAGCCATAAACATGGTTTAGCAGTGTATGCAACTTTACTCATTGTCCATTTTCTTTGGCAATGGTAAAAGAATGAGGTTATTGTAACTAATCAGTTATTCAAAAAGCTTGCTTGCTTCCTCCAAGGAAGATGCACAATATTGGCAGACTATTGTGTTACTAGAAGTGGCTTTATTTCCCTCTTACATGCATTAGGAAAAGCTGCTTGGATGCTAAGACTAGGTTGCAGCATTGTATTAAAGAGAACAAGAAAAATGGGCAATGAGTAAAGTTTACAGGGAGGTTCATTCCACTTTAAACTAGCACTGACCTATTTTTCAGCCTACCTTTAGTCCTTCTAAAGTTTAATCTACAGTAGATTAGGCCTACACCTATAGTGTACTCATGCTGCAAAAAAAAACCCAGGAGCTTAGCATTACCTTTACTTCCTAAAATAGACTGAATATTACTTCATTTCATGAAAGTTGGAAGCTTGCTCTTACAACAAGCTTTAAAAAATGTGTCTATATTAAGTTTACTACAGAAAACGTATGTTTAAGACTAATAGATTATTTCCAAATAATTGAAGTAAAGTTTAAGTATCCGTAAAATAAGTTCAGTCTAGTATGCAAAGATTTCAAGAGGATTAAGGAAGTTTTGATTATCACACTGAGTCATTTTATTACTCTGCAATACAAATATTTGTGCCTAAAACCACTTCAACTAAACCCCATAAAGCAGAACTGAAAACTGAAACCTTCTGTAGCTCAGCCCCTTCTTCCTGTGATGTTATCATACAAGCTGAGTAAGCATGGGCTGGGTTTTTTATTTAATCTTCTCTGAAGACTGAAATACATATACTAGAGCAGGCATCTGAGGAGGGAGCTGAAATTCAGCAAGAAAGGACATGCTTTGGAATTTTATTTCACCATATATTTCCTTCAGCTCAACGACAAGAAGATTGAAACCTGCAACATAATGATGAAACTTGGAAGTCTATTCCCCAAGGAATTTTGATGTTATTTATTTGAAGTTTACAAAGGATTTATTTGCAATATTTTTTCCAGCAAACGTAAAGGATTAATCTCTTCATCAACATTTGAAGAAATTAGATTTTGGATTTTAATTCATTTCAAGGATGATGTTTCTTATTTATGAAATTTACTACTGTCTTGAGTTGTGAACATGAATGACTACAGTTTTTGGAAGAAAGAAATGACATACTGATAAGTACAACTGACTTACTGAGCTATGAAGTTTTCGAATAATGTGGACACAAGTGAAGGGAAGGACTAGATTTATAAACCATCTGAGGATATACTACAGCTATACAAAAAAAAAGGTACAGATTTATTGAAGAATTTTGTAATTATAAATAATTAAACTGTCATTATGGTGGCAAACTCCAATTGTACTATTCAAGATTCCTTTAAATATACTTTATATGGCTGTGTATTTAGTATGGTGTTTGTTTTTGGTTTACTATCAAACTGTGTTGCTATTTACATTTTTACTTGCACACTAAAAATCAGAAATGAAACTACAACTTACATGCTTAATTTAGCAATATCAGATCTCCTTTTTGTGTTTACATTACCATTCAGGATTTACTCTTTTGCATCAAAAGACTGGCCATTTGGGGATATACTATGCAAGATTTCTGTCACACTGTTTTATACAAATATGTATGGAAGCATTTTGTTTTTGACCAGTATCAGCGTTGACCGTTTTTTAGCAATCGTATATCCATTTCGGTCAAAGACAATCCGAACAAAAAGAAATGCAAAGATCATCTGCATCATAATTTGGATAATTGTGACAACAGGAAGTATACCAGCAAGCTTCTTTCAATCCACCAATGCCCGTGTCAGTACTGAAGGATGGACACACAATACATGTTTTGAACACTTTTCTGAAAAAACTTGGAAAACCTATCTTTCAAGAATTATTATTTTCATTGAAACAGTAGGATTTTTTATTCCACTTATAGTGAATGTGACATGCTCCACAATAGTTGTAAGGACATTAAATAAGCCAATTACATTGACCAGGAATAAATTAAGTAAAAAAAAGGTCCTACGAATGATACTCGTTCACTTACTGATTTTCTGTTTCTGCTTTGTTCCATATAACATCACCCTAATACTTTATGCACTCATGAGAACACAAGCATGGATTAATTGTTCAGTCGTTACTGCTGTTAGAGTTATGTATCCAATCACTCTGTGTATTGCTGTTTCAAACTGTTGTTTTGACCCTATAGTATATTATTTTATTTCAAGCAGTATTCAAAATTCAATAAAAATGAAAAATTCATCAACTAGAAGACAGAGACTTTCTGAAACTCAAGTTTCTGATACTCAACATAGATTCCAAGCCTTAAAAACAAGAGTATTTGACATTGAATCTACAATATAAATTGTGTCGATAAAGCTAGAAAATAGAAACAGAATGTTTATGCTATAAATATTTTTCTTTTTTCTACAGATATAAAAGGTTATATTGAGTAAAAGAGTTGCTAATTTTAAACAATATGTTTAATGTGTAAGCATTTGTTTCATGAAATTTATATTATCAAATCAGAAAAATGTCATTTCATCTGTGTGGATTAAAAAAACTTTTTTATTATTCAATACCTTATGAAAAGGAGGTGTTATAATAAAGAGTGACTAGGTTTCCTTACTATACAACAAAATAGTTTTCTTTCTGATGAAAAATGTGTTATCAATATCAATATTAATAACATTGACAATTTAATATTTCATTTTATTATTTTATTCAAAGGTTATTCACTGTTGAAAAGACTGTGGAACTGTATAATAAACTCTACCGTGTAAAAGTGAAGTAGTTTATAGTCATTGTTTACCAAATTAAGCCTTGGTAAATCTTGTTCACTTGAATGGTGAAGTATTAAATACTTCTTTAAACTATCCCATGAAACCAAACAAGCTCTAAGTGAGACATTATTATCTCCAAAAAGTGTGATGATAGTTGAAAAGACTCCTACTGTGAATGGGAAAACAGTATCTGCATAGCCTTTAGACAGAATATTATTAGATTTCTGGATACATTTTTCTCAAAGTATAATTATGTGAGTTAATTGCAGTAAAAAACTGGAATTATCTTGTACCAAAGAAGCATAAATGCTCCTTTCTAAGTAGATAACTTATGATATGTTTAAATGGTTTTAGCTAGCAATAATAGGGTACAATTAATACATTAAGTTCACAACATAATAGGATGCTGTTTGTTTAGTTTGGCTTAAAGTATGAACCTAGCAATCGTTTTGATTTATAAACTTCACAACTCAAGGGTTTTTTTGTGTGCCTGGCTAATTGTGGCTTCTTGAGCAACCCATGGTTTAAAAAAAATGATGTAATACAATGTGTAAATTCTATTGTGAGATTCCAATGTTTCTTTCTTCTGGGTCTGTACTTTCTGCATTCGTTCGCTTTAATTTTATTGTTTAGTTCTATTAATCTTTAAAAGGTAGCTGTGAGAGCTAAGATGGATTTTCATATACTATATCGAAGAAAACATATCTCTTAAATTGCACAATTTCACTACGGAAACTACTGCCTTGACCAATCATTAATTGCTCAGCACCTCAGTAACTTTTTACCAGAATAATAAAACTACTTCAACTGTACTGTACAGAACAATAATCAGTTACTTTAATATTCTCAGCAATTTTGAAGGCTATGCAGAAGCCTTCCCATGCAGAAAAATTTACAATAATCAAATCATGATCAAATTAAATACTTGTACAGTAGCAGTATGAAAAAAAAAGATTGCATCAGGAATAAGTAAAATTGGCACATAATTCTCAACTGAAAAAGGCACTTCTGGCTACAGTCAACATCAAAACATAGCAGATTACAAATATACTAATATCCTCATGCAAAAGCAAAACGTGCAAGAAATCATCTTCGCATAAAGCTATGATTAAGGCTGAGCAAAGCATTCAAAGATGTTCCCAACATGTGGAAACACATGCCTCTTTTCAAATAATTAAAGAAGCAATTTTATTTACAAGGCCCACAAAATTCTTTTGGAAACTACTCCCAGTTGTCTCTGCATGTATGTGCATGCAAAGCAACTTCTCGTTGCTTCAGTTATTGAAGTTAGGGGCAACTAGGAGCATTCAACCTTAAGAGCTGGCCTCCGGCAATCTGCCATTTTAATTCCACATAACCCTCTGGGTCTCACAGGAACCAAACACATTTCTTTGAAAATAAATATAGCATGTGACAGTGAACCAGACTTTACTTTGAAATATTTCTAGTTGTGTGTATATAGAGGGGGGTGGAGTAATTATAGCAAACTATCACAGGAAGGCTTTGGGTTGGTGAAGAGCTAGTAGGAAGAGGAGAAGGCTGACGAGAGCACTTTACTACATTGTCAATTTTTGTCATTCTCTTTAATTCAATGCTGCAACCTAATCCTAGCATCCTAGCATCCAAGCAGCTTTTCCTACTACATGTAAATGGGAGATAAAACAACTTCTCATAACTTGATTGTCTGCCAATATTATGCATCTTCCCTGGAGGAAGGGAACACACCCTTGCAACTATTTGGAGAGGGTGCTCAAGACCCTACCAAAATTCCAACTGGGCTTATCTCCCAAAACGTTTGGAGATATTTTGCTTCAAGATGTAAGGTAAGAAAGCTCCATCAATGGATAATGCTACAACTATATTGTAGAAGTTATAACGGGTGTTTATTTATATAAACATTATGGTAGCTGTTCTCTACTCACTAGTTCCTGTTCTTTTCCCTTGTCCCAGATATTAAAATTCTAATAAACAACGTGACACACAGGCTGAAACAGCATTAAAAGTAAATGAAGATGTCCAAGATTAAATTACTTATTTACAGGCCTAATTTCATAGCAAATTTATGAAATCTATGATTTATTATTTTTAAGCATTTCTTGCATCATTAGTCTACACCACTATTGAGAATTTTATGTGGGATTTTGTACCACACCCAGAGTACACACTAGAAATTGGAACTGCTCATCATTTGGGTTTTTCTTGCCATTCAGTACAGAAACCTACAGTAGTTCTACAAGTAGACCTCATTTAACGACCATTCGTTTAATGATGGTTCGAAGTTACGATGGCCTCGGGAAAAGTGCTTTATGACCTGTACTCGCACTTACAACCGTTGCAAACTGTTGCACCATTCCCAGTATCAGATGATTGCGATTTTCAACCTTTTTTACAATGGTCGTTAAGCGAATCACTTGGCCGTTAAGCAAATTCCAGCAAAAAAGTCCATTGGGGAAGTTGGATTCACTTAACGACCATGTGATTCACTTAACGACCATCATAAAAATGGTCGTGAAATCGGGTCCAGTCACGTGGTGACTCGCTTAACAACCATTCTGCTTAATGACCATTTTCCAGTTCCTATTGTGGTTGTTAAGTGGGGACTACCTGTATATTAGTGAGCTTTTTAAGGTCTAAATATGTGATCATACCCTGCATTTTTCTTGGCAGGTGAGATCTCTGGAACTGAATGCAAAGAAATAATTTTTTTTTTCAGACTTCATAAACAATTCAGAAATGCAAATTATTTGATAAATTGTTTGGCAGTGAAACAAAAGGAGATTTAAAATATTTCTTTTTCAATTAATATATTTATTATTGTTTATTCTTGGTAGGAAGTTTTTTTGAAAGAGGTGATGCAGGAAAGTTTATTACCTTAGGGTCTTTGGTAGCAAAGAAGTTACAGACTTTTAATATTTAATATTTCCTTTTCATATTTTTTAGAGGGAGATGAGCTATATTGGCTTGGAGGGGGGAATCCTTGCACTGGATTTTCAATACAAGCAATTGTTTTCATTTTTCAGTTTTTTCTTTGTTAATTCTATTACTATTTATTAATGCTCTTATTCACTATTTTTTCTAATTGTGGTTTGTCGTATCTTTTTTTTGTGTGTGATTTTAAAAATTTGTCTCAGTTAAATGAAAATTCTTTTCTCTTTTTTCCTTAACTTACTGAATTTTTTTATAGGCAATATTTTTACTTATGTCAACTTTATTTGTTTTGAGAAATGTAAAAGGCATTACGTCTCCTTCCAATTGATACTTATTAGATTGGACAATATAAATCTGCAAACTGTTATTATAGGAGCAGCAAGTACAAGAAGCTCATATCTTTCCACATCATGAGAAATATCATTTATTTAGAAGACAAGTTGGTCAAGTATGTATTAGTAAAAATTAGTACCTTTGATTAAGAAATCTTCAAAATTTATAGTAGAAATAAGTGAAGCAGAAGGAATACACATACACACACACATAAACACACACAGTGGTGAGTAAATATTTCAGCAACCACATTGTATGTATTAATTATGACAGCTCTAAGTACCATCCATATGTTTTACATTGGTGTTTTGAGTATCTTTTTATTTCATTATGGATCAAATAATTATGGCTAGAGATTTTAATCAAGTTTTATATCATTTGTTAAAATGTTAATACTATTCCAGCTAAATTAAATTCTTATACCTAAAAAGTACTATGAGCTTATACACTCAAACTTAATTTGGTGGATCTATAGAAATATTTATATTCTTCACAGTAAGAATATAGTTTTTTTTCAACTCATGAGATATGTTCCCAACTTGATTATTTCTTAGGATCTCAAACTTTAGTTGATTGTGTAGTTAAATATACATTCTACTGCATTATCTAATCACACTCCAGTATCTCTATCCATTACTTTAAGAAAAAGTCATCCTATTTTTCAAGTTGATATTGAAAAATACCACTGTTAAATGCATCATTCATGTTTTATACAATAAATGAAATGCAATTCTAAAGATATATTTATATGAACACTTAATGGACTTAATCATTTGGGGGTTGCTTCTAAGGCATATATTGTATATGTATTGTTGCATATACTTCATGGAAAAAGAATTTTAAAAATATAAACAAGAAAAGTTGGAAAATAAAGTTTTCAGGTTGACAGATTGAGTGGCTCTGCTTCTTATGTTCCTTCTCCAAAATCTCCTCTAACAGAGCACCAATCTGGTCCTACCTACCGGCATGGTTGTTTATATAGTAATTAAATTGCCACAATCTAGCTGGCTGCAGACCAACTGGCCAAGATATCTTTCCATTTTACTTGTCTGACAAATCTTGGACTGAAATTTTAGAAATGCATTCAGAAAAACTGGAATCAGTAATATTTTCATTGGATGTGGAAAAGGCCTTTAATATGGTGCAGATGAACCTTCTGTAGCAAATGTTGGCCATACATGGATTTCCTTCATTTTGATCTTTCCAACTCAATGGTCTGTTGGAAAGAAATTATGTAAAGAGGCTTATCCTGGTAAGTCTCCAGAACCAGCCCTCCAAAAATGAAATTTGAGGTGAAGAAAGAAGCTGGCAAAAGAAAGAATAAGTTCAAAATTCAGCTGGAGCTGGCCAAGGGCTGTGGAGGACAAAAAAAATCTAAAAAAACCTCCCCCAATTATCTAGTCCTATGGAAGAGGGAGCTGGGCAGGGGCTCAGAATGGTCCTGACTACTCCAGCTTCCCTTTTCTGGCCTTCAGAACACATGACCAAGAATGGAGGTGATATTAAGGGTTTGGAAAAGATTTCAGAAGCCATGCCTTCCCTACCTTGTTTTACTCACTGGACTAAAATGTGATCCTCTGTCCTTTGGTCCAGGTTTTTACAAATGGAATTATTCTCTTGCCCATCAAACTGTCTTGTGTGACTTAGTCAAGGAGGCCCTTTATCTCCTTATATTTATCCTTATATTTGATACTAGACTCATTGGCCTATATTATTAGGCAACCAAAGGTAATCTGTGTATAAAAGTAGCTGGAATTGAACCCTATTTTCATTTTGTTTTCCAATATTCCTTAAACAACCTAATATTGATTCCTACAAGTGAATTATGCACTATCTTTTTTTTCAAAACAATGAACCTAAAAGTAAAGGACAAAGCATACACTTGATTTCTTTAGTCACAGTCTCTGAAACATAATGAAGAAACTATCTTTTCCCCCCTTAACATCCTTCTTAAAATTCAAATTATTTGTAACTGTCCTATAACCAAGACTGCAGGGAGGAGGGAGTATGTAAAGGCATGGGTAGGATGCCCAAAGGGGGAAAAGATCAACACTAAGTTGAAAAAAAACCCTGAGATAAACACTTCTATCCTATTTAAGTTACTAACCCTCTTTTTATCAACCTTCCAGTTCACTGTAAGGAACAGATGCAGACCCAACAACCAATCTGTTTGTAAATATTGCAGGGACAGAAGCAAAGCTATCATAAGGAAATAGAAAATGCCTTCGGACGTAGCTCTTCAAACTACTCTTCACAATTTAAAAAATACTGTGTGTTCTACTGGGGAAATAGATATCACTTCAACTCCTATTTCACTTGGACTATACATTTATAAAGTCGCCCAGGTGTAATTTTATAGTTCATACAATAAACTATATAATAAATAATTTTATGGGAACATAAGACCTACAAATACCATGTTCTTATATGTTTAGAAAACAACTTACTGATTGCCATGCAAGGGATTCCATAATTTTGTGTTCACAGCCTTCTAGGTGTTTTATCATCTCTCTAGTCAAGCTTGGTTCTGCTTTAATGAAGCTTTCAATAATCATGTATAATTCAAAGGCTTTCAAGTCCAGGACATTGATGATCCATGGGAAAGACAAGTCTGTCTCCAGATTCATGCTCTGTGAAGCGTTTCTTGATGCTTAGGGGAACACAACTAATTAATATGGAGCAACAAAGTCATGTATAAAATTAGTTGTTGCTATGCTGAGTTACTGCAAGATTTTACATTCAAAATAACAATATTTTAAAGACAGCAGATCCTCTATCACAGAAAATGCTTTTGGAAAAGAAGTTTGTCCCAAGAGTGAACTGAAGAGACTGCTTAATAATACTTATAGTAATTTGAACTTACTGCCATATGTAGCCATGACTAGCTCAAGAGCACAAGCCAGCAGAGATATGTGGAAGATGTCATTATTCAAAAGTTTGCTGTAAAAAAACATACATCTCAATAACAAGCTTTTAACATAAGAGCATTCTAAAACAGTTTTACAAAATAGGGATGTCTGAAGGATGTTTAACAAACATACCTAAAGTTATGAACTGACAGACGTTTTTCTTCCTGTAACAGATATATAACTAAAGTTTTAGTATAGCATTTTAAAAAGCTAACATCTATTATAAAAAATAATATATTGAAAACATACCGACTTTAATAAGGATTCCATCACTCTGTAGTATAACCTTACTCCAATTCTGTACCTCTGAAAAGAACAAATAAAATATTATTTAACAAGTGGAAACATAATGCTATTAGTGCAAACTATTTAATCTCATTTGTCAATTTTTGTGGGACCATTTAATTATACAGTACTACTTAAAGAAGTCTACTAGCACTAGAATCCAAAAATTTAAATAACAGAATGCAATGCTTACACAAAAAATTCATACCCAATACCACGGACTTTCATAACACATTTTATCTTGTAATCCAGGAAACATTTCAGTCCATAACATGCTTTTGGAAATACATTACATTCAAACTATTTTTTTTTTTTAGTAAAGTGCTAAATTCTCTTTTATCCATTAACAAGTTATTGCACCAGTAAATAAAAATTACATAACTCATTTTTGTATAATATCCCTTCATGGGGATACACCCAAAGCCACTGAAGAGAACTATGTATTAAAAATATAAATCTTAGTGATATTTTGCAAAACCTATGTTAATTAACTTCAGAAATATCATAACATTTCAAAACTGTAGTGGTTCATAATTTCCCATGTCAGTCAGTCCTGGAGGCTGTAGTTCAGAGTATTGCAGGTACTTTCTTTGGCACCTGAGGTTGTTCACTTTCCCCTGAGAGATACCTGCAGTTATGTTTAAATCTCCTCCTAATACCAAATTCTCAATACCAAATTGTACTAATTTCGTTAATACTTTCCTAAGAAATTGTACTTGACCCTGATTAGGAGAATAATTTGAAATGATAACAACTGGTAATTTATCTAATTCTCCCTTGATAAATATGAACCTTCCTTTGTTATCCTTCAAAATCTTTGCACTTTGAAGTATTAAATGAGCTTCAGATAAAATTGCAATCACTCCTGGCTTATTAGTGCCTAGAGCAAAACACTGTTTATCAAGCTATTTGTCTTTGACACTATCCTATTTGTTTTTTTGTAATATAACACTTCAGAGGGAAAAGAATCTCACATATCTAAATATTCTTTATATTTTTATTGTGTCTTCCAACTCTATAAATTCAGTAAGATAAATTTACAGACATCATTCAAGAAATATCATTATTGCTACTTTGGATACCTTTTATCCTATAAAATAAACTTGGCTTCTAAGAATAAGCCCTTTGTTGCTTGTGCCAGTGACAATCTTATTTCTTTTTGCTTTGATCCTTCTGAAAACTCCCAGCCCTCAGCATATCCATCCCCACCCACAAATCTTCCCCCTATAATGATCCCTAAATTCTTAATACCCATATTCTTAATACTCTGACCAACCTCCCTCCCTGTTCAATCTTAGACTTAGGTTCACACTCTTGAGCCTCTTCACAGTCTAAGTGGGAAACGTTTTGCTGCTCCCTCACACCTTTCCCTGTCCAATTTAAATATATATCAACTTTATCTTGTATATTGTTTTAAGTCCTAAATTAAACTTTCATATACTATGCTAAATCTTAGCTGGTCAATATAGAGTTTGGTTTTTTTTATTATTTTTCTCTTTTGTCCTTGTTTCTGTTGGAATCCTCCTTGGTCCTTTTGCAGCTGAGTCTGCTAGTTTTAATCTCTAAGACTGTTCCTTTTGCTGGCATCAGGGAGAATCTTCTTCAAATATGCCATAGTTTTGTTCTTGTCCTTAATACTAGCAATTGCCTCTACTGCTTGTGGTTTCAAAATTACAAGTTTGAATGGAAATCCCACATTTATAACTAATTCCCATCAACAGTTCTGTTAGACGCTTAAATGCAATTCTTTTTTATAAGATTTCCTGAAGAATTTTATCTCTGGTACATTCAAGTTAACTATAGTATCCCTTTATTTTTTAAAACTTTGCAAGACTGGAATTTTTAACTCTATGTGCACATACTATGTCCTTTTCAGAAGAGATCCTTAAGTTTCAATACTGTACAATCTATCATGTTATTGTTCTCAGCATGTTCACTGATACAGAGGTTAGTTTGTCTGTTATGATCTTCTGTTATGATCCAAGAAAACTGCAGGGACTAGTCCAGGCAGTCTCTGAGAATCGGACATGATTGAATGGATTAAAAAAAAAAAAAAAAGCTTCAACATCCATGTGTTTCTCAATCTTTTTCACACAGGAAACATTTTTAGTATTTAAATCATAGGCCTGACTACCTATCTGAGCAATGTCTGATATTTACCCTGGTAAGTCTTTAAATGGTTTATTAATACTTCCAGACATACCTACTAAATCTTCTTTTACTAATGTAAAAGATTTCTCCCATCCCAGCTTAAGGTCTCATTTAAATTCTTTAAGGGAATGCTTGATGGTGTTAGAGTCCTCTTTGGAGTGATAAGATAGCAGCCAAAGCTGTAGGCCTCATCTTCCTCTTCCACTGGAGCACTGCCAGTTGGTTTTTTTTGTCTCTTTCATGTTTGTTTTGATCTTTTTGTTGTAAAACACCTCTCCTGAACATTTTGCATTTCTTAATTACTTAAGAAGGGGATTTAGTGCAGATAAGCAGTTGATAATAACTAAAAAGGGCAGGCTGAGGGACAAGCAAGGCTTTCAGCAGCCCATCTTCAACAGTGCTCCACTTCAAATGCTCCTAGTAGTACCTCAAATGTCATTCATTCCAGCCTGTTTATACACCACTCTGGTTTTCATTTCATTTCTTTATGTTATCAACACAGGATGATATATATGTTCTCTTTAAATTCTAGATTACACAGTATGTTTTGATATTAAAACAGAACTGGGTTTAAAAAGCCCACAGCTATTAAAATCAGCCTGCTTATAAAGATAATTTCAACATCTTACTTTTGTCTCCATAGCTATGTAAAGGATTTGTATTAATAAGAATTATGACTAAACATATGTATGATTCCTGGAATACTTTAAATTATTCAATGCATTCTCTAGTTCAGAATTAACCCAGCTCTTAAGAAAAAGTTAGATTTGAGTTATTGGAGAACCCTACCTGAGATCCAATTTCAGCACAGCCTTGCCCAACTGCTTCAGCAAATTTCTCCTTGAAGATTAAACCCAGATTTTCTATTCTTTTCACTATGTCTTCATGAGGATTAATTGTACAGTTCTGTAATATTTGGGGGAAAATCTTTAGATACACTGTATTATATTAGAAAAACAAAACATCTTCAATTGGAGCATGAGCTTTAGAAATAGTACATTAGTAAATCATTCCTTCATTTTGTTAGCAACAGGATAGGATTTGTGAGAATCCTAGTCAGAACAAACATAAGCAAATAAATGATTATGCTTGAGAAATCAATTCTGGAGGCTAACATATAATAAGGAGCTTTTGAATTAATTTAAAACTTAACAAGCTCTCAGATCTGTTATTGCAATAGAAGAATAAAGGTCTCTGCAATATGGGTTTTTTTTATCAGAGAAGTATCACCGCTATGACCATTGTAGATAACAGATAGCAATGATTCCCACTCTGATCACCTCTCATTTATGTTATATTGCAGCTGCCTTTGAACATGGTTCAAAATATGGAAGTAATATTTCTATTTAGGATCAGCTATTATGAACACGCTACACCAATCTTTCAGGGTTTTGTTGTTGTTGTTTTTTGGTACAAGGCTGAATATACAGACCTAGTTAGGACCACTAAGTGACTTGGATGCTTGATATATGAAAGAATGCCTCTTCATATTAATAACTGTGTTTCCATTGGTTGGCAGAATATAATTAAGGAGACCAGCAGTAGATTTCTGGATGGTTTAAATTCTGTCTTGCGTTAGCTGAGGTTTTTGGATATTGTGCAATGGTGAAAAAACAGGAAAAAACCAAGTATACCCAATTAACCTGAAGTCTGCCTACATTTACTGTAAGTTGAGTGGAGGCCCTTGAATATCCTCCAATTGAGGTACAGAGGATGGCCATGAAGAAAAGCATCTTTTCTGTGTCAGCTCCTTCCCATGCATGAGATGTTGGCCAGACTAGAATCAAACTGTTGTTATCAATGCCAGTTTCAAAATCATGGGTTAGTATGATGTATAAAATTCAACCTTTGTCCCCTTGACTGATAGCTATGGGAAGTTGTTTGGGATGTTATTTATTCCCTATTTTAAATTCTTTCAAAATGAAAATTGGCTAAGAAATTTATTCAGAACAAGATTAAAAAAAAATCCCCTCTAACCCCTATGGGTGGTATATGTCTTCCTCAATCTCAGGTTCTCTACCAAGAGGCCTGGGAGTTTGAGGGTTCTGCACAGTATCTTAGCTGTTCCTAGCACTGCACTCTTCTGGACAGAAAGCTCTGTTGTTGT